GCGCCCCCGCCCCAGCCTCCGCCTACTCACTGCCTTAATCGCCGTGTCCACCCACAGGACCCTGGCTCCGCTGGCCACCAGGGGAGGAGGCGCGCTCGCCTCAGCTGCTGTGTGCCCCGAGTCCTGTGCGCGGCCAGGATGTTGTGACTTGGGGACATGACTGCAGGTGCTGGCCGTGTTGTCCCCGCAGTCTGTGGGAGAGCGGTGGACCCCTGCGTCACTCCCCGTGCATCCACAGATGACACGGGCCCATCACATGCCCCGTGTCCCTGTGGCCAGTGGTGTGTGACCCTGTAACACAGAAATCTTATCGCTCCCCTTTGTCCAACGAAAGTCCACCCCAGGGGATTTGTACATGAGCTCTTTCTGTTGCACTTTAAGCGGTGAGACCCAGGGATTGACGGGGGCCTCCCTGCCACATGCCTGCTCTCATCCTGGCTGGCCGTCTGGCGCCCCGCCTCAGCACGTGCAGGCTGTGTCCAAAGCCCTCGTCACACCGTGGTTCTCATGTTAACGTGGGGTCCTGAGAGCACGACTCGGGAGGCTTGCGTCTTGGCAGGTCTCTCTCTTTTTTTTTTTAGCAACAAGGGCCTTGCTGTGTCGTCCAGCTGGTCCCAAGCTCCGGGCCTCAAGCCGTCCTCCCACCTCGGCCCCTGGCACATGAGCCACATGCCCAGCTATTCTGGCCGTCTTCGTTGTGACGAGCCCCCTTTGAGAAGGGGGTTTGTTTTCTGTCATCCAATTTGCGCACAGTCTGAGAGGATCGCACAGCTTACTCAGGAAGTGAAGCGAACGGTGTGTGCGGCACAGTGTTTTTCGAGGGACAGCAGAGTCCTAGCGTGTCCCACTAGTGCGCACTGAGGCAAGGGGCACCGGAGGCCCGAGGGAAGTAGGACGCTTGGTCTGGCCAGCGGGTGGCTGGATTAGCGGGAGCAGCTGGCCCGGGTGAAGATGGGTGGGCCCTGTGGGGATGTGAGAGCCAGCGAGAGTGAGGTAAATTAAGTCCGGTATTTAGGCCAAGGCCTCCCGGTGTCCTGGGATCCTCCTGAAATTTAGTCCTGAGGAGACAGGTCGACCACTCTGCCTCTGAGCTGAAAGCCTTCACATGTCAGCTTGCCTGTTGGGGAAGCCCTCCCTGTCCGCAGCCCAGACGGCACTTTCCTCACATCTGTTTCTCGTGTCCGCACCAGAAAGAAGTGGTAGGCAGTGTTCATGGAGACGGCTCTGGGCTCTCCCCCGCCCCACCCCGGCCCAGTGTGGGAAGAGGCGTGTCTGTGTGCATCCTCCTCCTGATGACCTCAGATCTTGGGATTTAAATTAAGTGCAATATTTTGCCAACAGCTGTTCTTAGGGAAATCTCCTGGGGAGAATGTGACAGTGTGCCGTGGTCTGAGAGAACGGGATCTGTGAGCCATCGGCACAGTCCGCGTGTTCGCGTGAGACTCGCACCACACAAGCCTCTCTTTTCCGAGTGCGGTGGTCTTAGTGACTTCATGGCTCATTCAGCCATCATTGCTGTCCAGTTCCAGACCCTCGCCTTGTACAACAATAAATGTCATTTCGTGGAATCCTTGGTTCTAGAGTACTTGGGATGCAGAGAAGAGGGGGTGACGCGTCCCACCCCTTCTCATGGCTGTGACTGTCAGGAGAGTTGTGACTGTCCCCCCAGGCCGAGGTGTGGATGCAGCGACGGCTGAGTCCAGGGGGCAGGTGGGGATGGGAGCAGCATGTGTCCCTTGGCCTTTGTGTCCAGTGCTAGCATGCCCCTTCCCTGGGGCCGCAGCTGGGTCCCGGGCGGGCTCTTGACACCACGCCTCCCCCCAGGGGCACTTTGGACATGGCACGGGCCAGCGGGCCAGGCGCCAAGGCAGGCGAGTGAGCTTCCCGGCCCTCGAGGCGAAGGGCCCATCGTGCTGCCACGCTCTCCTCCCCGCCCAGCCCGGCTGTTTCTGTGGTTGGCGCTTGCAGCCTGGGACGAGTGTCTTCTTCCAGCAAGAAAGGTGAAGAAGTTGCAGGAAGGCAGCACACTGCTCCGCCAGCCCGGGGCCATTGACAGACCTGCCGAAACAGGCCCTACTCTGAAATTCCAGGGCCTAACCGTCCTACTGGTCATGAATTCTTGTCATCCCGCGCCTTGGGAGGCTGAGGTGAGCGGATGGCCCGAGCCCGCGGGTTCAAGACCC